TTCAGGGCCTAAGAAGATAGACGCGTAAGCGGCCCTTGAAAGTTCTCGGATTGTGTGCCGTGCGCACGACCCGTCCATGCAAACACCACATCCCCTTAAGTCGATACTCCCCCAATGCACTCCCTCCTTCTGTGGGTTGAAGAGTCGAGGGTTGGGGTCAGTGTGGGGGGTGAGGGTAGCTGGTTTCGGGGTGTTCCATCTTCAGCTCATCCCAAAAGCTCCTGTATTCACTTTCGGCTGCCTCTTGGAGCCATCCTGCATTACCACCCGCAACTTCTAGGCGCACAGCAACTACTTCAGGGTGCTGACAGTGCCAGGCTCTGTGCCTGACCAAGTCAGGTTGTCCGCAAAGTGGACAGCATCCGTCGCTGGCGTATCCTGATGCTCGTGCTCGTGCACGGGTCCATGCGCCTCCACAGAAACAAGTAATGGCCATGTATTTTCCCAGCTGGGAAAGCTTTCGGGACCTGGGGCCAAGGAGCTTTTGGAGCGGTTCAGCAGCAACTCTGGCCCCAGGGAACGACGGGGAAAGCGTGGCCAGCTTACGTTCATGACCTCGTTGGGTGGCAAGCACCAGTAAGTGGCCGACCATGGACGGAGACGTGTAGGCCAGATGAATTTCTCTGCCATAGTCGTCTTCCCACGTGAGGGCAGATGTGGCGCACCATCCAACTCTGAATAACGACAGGTGCATACGTTGAATCGGCCCGCGGGAGCTCCTCCAGCTAACCTGGTTATTAAACGGCACCGCGCACCACATCTGACAAATCTGCTTGACGTTATAGTGAGACGTGACGGGGTCCGTGACCGCAAGCCACACAATGTGAGCCCAGTGCAGGGCTGGCACAACAGCCGCCCTCCAGACAGGGTCTCCTCCGAAACAAAGTTTAGCAGTGGGCGAGCACCCTCGATGTCGTGGGACACGATGCGACAGCATGACACGGCGACCTTGTTGTAACTCATGGTCACTCATGCCAACAATCGCCGGTCCGAACGTGGCAGCGGGCTGGAGGCCCGCCGCGTATATCTTGCCGATGCGTCCCTTCTGTCTGGGTAAACTTCGCCGATATCTCTGTAACACCTTGTGCCTTTTATACATACACCTAAACCTGACCTTGCGTTTGTGGAGAGCGCTCTTGGTCGAACGTCTCTGCCCTGGAGCCAGATCCGTTCCAGGGCTGACAGTGCTATTGGTGACGGTGCCCGCCATCTGACCTAACAACCTTCCCAGTTTCTTGGCGATGCCTAAGGAACTGCCGAAGGTGGTGAGTTTGTCACCTTGTGAAACAGACTTTAAGCTCATCCCTAAAAAACAACAAACATGCTAGCACAGGCCTGGATCATTTTCTCAAGAACCTCGGTCTCCGTGCTGCCCTCAGTCGCAAGGGCATCGTCGTCGACGTACGACGAAAGGGCGACCGGCGGGTGGCTGCTGCAAAAACGATCGAAGGCGCCAATGCTGTAGACCCGCGCGAACAGGTCGTTGAAAATGTCCCCCGCTGGGAGGCCACTCGAGGCAAAGTAGGGGTTCGCATTGTACGTGCACCCGAGCCTGAGGATACGGGGGCCCCTCCAAAACTTGTACGTGGTCTTAACAATAACCTGATTGAAACCGTACTCAATCGCCATATTCTGAAGCAACTCCAAGTCAAAACTTGCGTAATACTTCGTCCCGTCCCAAGTAACCCACGGAGTAACCTTACCCTTAGCCTCGGCCACTTCGGCCTGCGCCGCCTGGTGCCACGCGGCACCCTCGGCGCTGCGCCCTGGCCCGAAGGCCCAAAAACGGCGGGGGAAGTTGGAATTAAACTCGAGCAGGCGGGGTCTTCTCAGTCGCTCCCAGACTCGGACGGCGCCCGCGCACAACAGGATCGGTCTAACTCCCCCTTTGGGCTTCTCGAGGAGGGGGAACAACGTCCAGAACAACTGTTTAGGGAAAAAGCCCAGGGACTCGATGGCCTGGAAGATGGCCCCGAGCGTGTCCAGGGCAGAGTCAGAAACCAAAGACAGCTGGCGGGGGTGCAAACCGCCCAAGGACTGCGACGTCATTTAGGAAAAGAATTACTGGCAGCGCGAATCTCAGCCGCCGTGGCCCGAGGGAGATGGCCCCTGTCCAGGACTTCAGCTCGGGCGGGGGGGGGCGCTGGCATGCCAGAACTTGGCCAGAGTCCTACTTTCCGCATCGAGAACATCTTGCGGGTTACTCGTGAACTGCCCAGCAGTGGTCTGAACGACCGTGGGGTTCCATCTCTCCTTTAACTTAGTTAACCGATGCATAGCCCTGGCCCCTCCCGATAACGCTTTCTCCTGCCATTCGTCCCAAGACTCCTTTTTGTTCCTGTTCAGGGTGGCTTGGGCAAGCTCCAGGTCATCGTTCCAGGAGTCCATGAACTCCTGAGCGCCCCGGAGCCACTCGGGTGAGGTAACAGACCATCTGGAAAGGAGGTCCCGCGCCTGCCTGATCGTCGCGTCCAACCTGACACTCGATCCTTCGTCTGGCACGGGCTGTAACTGTAACTGCTTGATCTGAGACTCCGCGCCCTGCTGGAGCTGATCCAATCTGCGGGGTTCGGCTCTGGAGTTGCCCTGGGCATCGGCCGGGCGCTGGGCAACTCCAACCGTCTCCTTCATATGCTGGGCCAGCCAGACCCATCCCGAATAAGTTTGATCTCTGGAGGACTTCTTAGGCCTCTCGAAGATGGGGACCCACCGAGGCTTCAGGAAGGCCCCATTGTGGCCTTTGCTGACGATGTCGACTCCAAGGAAGCCTTCGAGTTCTAATTCTAACGCGTTGGCGAATATTTTCCACGCGTACGTTAACTGGGCCCAGGCCCTCCCGACAGGAAGGTGAATCGCAGCATCAGCGGCGTCCTCCGCCAGACTTCGGGCGAACGTCCAATCCTGGGGGGAGGGGGTGGGGTCAAACGGGAGTTCAACGGGTAACTTCTGGTGGGTATGGTAATTGAGCTGGTGTAACTGCACCGATTTGTCCCTTAACTTAATTCGCACCGGCCTGTGGGGTCTTCCAGTCCACGACATATCAGCTCCTATCTGCTCCACCGCTCTGGCCATGCCCGTGCTGGCCATGAAAAAATCGACGGTCGTGAGCGCGCCGGGTGAGACGCAGGTGCGCTGCTCAGGAACGAAGACCGCAACGTCCAATCGTCTCGGTAAACCTGCGCTCTCCACAAGACTGGGTTCCATGTTCCAGTCGGCTCCTACGAGGAACAGGTGCTCCTTCTCAAGGTGCGATCCGATTTTCTTGAGCATTCCAAGGTTGGACTCGCAGAGTCCAGTACCAGATTTCAGGTAAGCACAAACAACGGTCAGGGGGGGCCACGAGGGAATATCGACCACAGCTTCGATGATTCTACTGGGCACGATGGTGCCTGAGCCATCTGTAGGCTATCTCAACCCTAAGGGTTTTCTGACCAAAATGGCCACCCCCCATTTAGGTTGCCCCGCCTGCCCAGGGACCGAGGGGGGGGGAAAGCATTTTCCAATCTAACTTGGAGACCGCATCACATGTTTCACCCAATCTGTCCTCCAACACGCCGATCTCCTGAGCGAAGACGATGAGGGCAGGGGTGGTCTTCAGACGGTCTCGCAACGTACTCCAGGCATTTCAATTGTAACACTCAACGCATTCGCCTCCGCCAAGCACCCCAAGGAGGGTAGGAGGCGGAAGAGCAGGCGGGGGGATCGGAGTGCCAAACTGCGACAGAGGAAATCTGCTGCACCGTGGGAGTGAGGCGCTGCTACCCCAAACGCTGCTTCTTGAAAAGTGCGCGCAACTGCTCCCCGAATTCTCTCTTGTCTGTGCGCTTTGCACTAAAGAAAACTCGCTCGAGCTCACCATCATCAAAATCGAAGTCAAAATCAGGTACACTCTGGTGCGCCGCCTGCTGCCCAGGACCGCGTGGAGGAAAGATGAACGGTGATGCCACGGGCTCGTCGCTCGCCCCCATCTCGATGCCACCACTTCCGTCGACGACGAACGGTGATGCGGGGGTAGCGGGTTTCGTTGTCGCGGCCTTCTGCTGGTCCATGAACTTCTTGAACTTGGCGAATCCTGGGGATGCCATGAACTGGTCCATCTCCTTTTTGTCGTCACCTTCGATGTTGTCCAGATCAATATGGCACGTCGAAGAGGGCTCGACAGCCGCTGGCATAGTCTCCACAAGCTTTTGGTAAAGCCAAACCAACCGCTTAGCCACTGCCGCCTGCTGTGCCTTGAGACTGTCGAGCTTCTCGTTTGCCTGCTCGATGACAAGCTGCTGGTGCTGAACTTGATGGGCAAACCTGCGCTGCGCAGCCTCGGCCTTGATAATCTTGTGGCCGAAATTAGACCCGACCAAAGACAAACTAAACCCGACCAAAGGAACAACCAGACCCGACCACGGGAAAACTACACCCGACCAAAGAAAAACTAAACCCGACCAACGAAAATCTAGACCCGACCAAAGGAACAACTAAACCCGACCAGGGGAAAACTAGACCCGACCATGAGAAAACTAAGCGCGACCATACAACAACTGAGCAGGAGACGTGGGATACGGTAACCAATGCCATGAGAACATGACGGAACATAACCACAAATAGCATGATTGCGCCGATGGCGATGACGACGGCGACATCGCGACCGCCGCGACCTGCGGCGACGGCAGCGGCGGGTGCCACATGTCCGAAACGAGCGCTGCCGCAGAATTCGCGCCCCAGAAGAACCGACGCCGCCGACAGCCGCGGGGCCTACATCACTGTCGCGCGCCGCCGCAGAACTCCTCCTCAGAACCGACGCCACTGGGCCCCTCTCGGAAACGAATGCTCGAGCGACCTCTCACGCGGCAACGGGCGCGCCAGAGGCAGCGTCGTGGCACGCCAGAGGCAGTGTGTCAAATGCCCACCTACTCGTCGTCCGAGCTCGCGCCGTCCTCCTCCCCCCCCTCATCCTCGCTGTCCCCGGCCACTGGCATCAACAAACGTTTCGCCTCCATCATGGCTTCGCTGAAATACTTGCTGGCTTTCTCGACGAACTCAGCGTCGCCGCCCAATTGCTCCGCGTGCCCCTCCTCGTGGCCCGCCCTGTGCATCGCCCACCTGTCCACGATGGAATCGAGCCAGTCCCGGTGCGCATCGTTGGCAGCGATGCCTTCGCACTCAATTGCGCCAGAGGCAGCAACAGCCAAAGCGCCAGAACCTGGAGTGAAGTCCACGACGCGGGTCACTTTGTGGTGCTCCACGAGAGTCTGCCACAAGCTGAACGGCTTCACCTCGGCGTGCGAGAACGGGTGGCCCTTCGAGTCGATGTCCCCCTGCAGGCGCGGTTGCTTCCCGTCGACGCTAGCGCAAGATGCAGCTCACAAGATGCTCATCTTCGTCTCGTGGTCCATGCGAGGGAGCTCGGAGAAACGCCGCATTGGGATGCCGCTGTATGACGTGCCTGCGGTCGAGGACTCGCCGCCCGCGTTGAACTCCGCACGGTGCAGCACCTTCCGCGGCGGGCTCTTGAGTGGCATCGAGAAAATGGCTGTCTCCCTGTTGTTCTTCGTGTAGTTCGACGCCCTGGCCGCGGACCGCGGGTCCACCTTCTTCGCCGGTTCCTCGTGCACGAACCAGCACTCGACGTGCGCGCGGGTGCCTCCTGACTCCAACTTCGCATCGAAGGACTCAATTAACCTGCGGTTCGCGCGGCTCCTGCCGTCGAGGAAGATGAGGACATCATCCTTCTGCCTCCTCTGCAAGAAGAACTCGATGACGCGCTTGAACTTCGCCTCGTCACACGCCATCTGCTCGTTCATCCTCGCCTTGGCGCCTTGCTTGACGACGTTGGGCGGGAACAAGTCCGCGGAGAGGATGAACGCGCGAAGCTCGTTCTTCTTCCTCCCGAAGCGGTGCCCGAGGCTGAGCGCGCCCCACAAGCTTTGCATCTGCGCCGCTGCGTACTCCGCGCCAGAGGCACCGCCGACAGACGGCAAACTGACGAACTTCACAGTTTTCCTGCGGAGCTGCTCGAGCTGCTTCTGGAGCTTCTGGAGCTCTGCCTTTTGCTCGTCCCCGAGCTCGGACATCCCCAACAAGCCGAGATTTGCATCCTCATCGGGGTTGGCGGTGATGGGCCCGCCCGTGCACGCGGCCGCGAAGGCGCGGTACTTGGCGCTAGCGCCCTGGCTGGTCTCGGAGAGGTACGTGTGCCAGACGAACCCAGTGGTGCTGTTCTGCAACTCCTGCTGGGCAAGCTCGGCAATTTCGTCGTCGAAAGCGCTCGACCACAGTGGCCACGCGACGTCGATCATCGCCTTCGTATTGACATCCACGGCGTTCCGATGCTCAGCCACGGGGAGCGCAAACAATGTCCCCATCTCGCCGGCGCCGCCGCCTGAGTCGGACGCGCGGTGCGAAGCCACGAGCCCATCCGCGCCAGAGGCAGCGAACTTCTGGAGGATGTGGAGAGGCGCCTTAAATGCCGCCATGTGATTCCCCACTTCCTTGCTCATAAGAAACGCCTCGTGAAAGATGTGCTCGACGAGCTTCTTTTTCTTGAAGAACGCGCGGTGCATCCCTGGCGTCTCCCTATCGCGCCCGACGGCCCGGCTCACGACCAGTTCCTCGTCCTTCGGGGCGTCGCCCGCCAAGCGGGCCACGCGGAAACTGTTCATGATGAAAACGAGCAATTCCCTGGCCTCGGCGTCAGAACCACCCTTCGTGGAGCAGGCGAAGTCGATCCCCATGAGAAGCGCAGGGTCGCGAAGCTCTGGAAAATACACTTCGGCCAGCGCGAAAGCCGAACTGCAGGCACCGTCGAGGACGAAAAGGCGCGGGCCTTTCAGTGCCGCGGCGGTTGCAGCGGTGCACGCTTTTCCTTTGAACTGGTGGCCGTAGGCCTTCAGCGCAGCCTCCAGCTTCGACGCTGGTTCCTGTTTGGCGAAACAGTTCTCCACGTCGGTCAAGCGGCGCGTTTTTTTCTGCGAACCGCCAGAAAGACTCAGCGCCAGAGGCAGCATGCGCAGAGAACACCTTCTCTGAAAATGCAAGAGCGGCCAAGTGGGCCGCGTCGCCACCAGGCAGCAAGCGCATCCTGATGGGCACGGACAACACGGCATTGAACAGATGCCACACGCGGTCTTCGTTGGACTGCAAGAGCGCCTCGCTCATAACAGCGTGCCACGTGATGGCCACCGCGCGCCCCGCGAGCATGGCCAGAGCCTCTGTCAAGCAAACCCCAGGCTTGTTAGGCTCAAACCGCTGGGCGACCATGACGTCGACCACCAAGGCGGGGATAGGCACGTCGAAGGAGAGGCGCCGCGAGGGCGCGTGCTTGGAGGAGAGGGAGTACGCCTCCTCCGACCACATGCCCATGGCACCCTCGAGCTGGCTTACGGTGACATCGTCGATGTCCGAGAAAATCGGGTCCAACATCCACACCGCCCCCGCTGCCTCGCACTCCTCGGCGCGGGAGAAGCTCGCAACCAGGTTGTCGTAGTCCATGACCTCGCGAAACGAACTGAGGTTCGCGCCAGAGGCAGCGTCAGTGATGGCCAACGGCGGAATCAAAAAACACTTGGCGGGCACCGCGAAGGACACCTCGCGCTTGCGCTGCCCCAGGAAGCTGCGCAAACTATGGTCGACGTGGTGCTTCACGTGGCGCGCCCACTCCTTGACGTGACCCTGCTGCATCGACTGGTCCGTCTCGAGGAGCTGCGAGATGCGCAGGGCCGGCGGCGCGCCAGAGGCAGTGGCGGGCGGCGCGCCAGAGGCAGCGGCGGGCGGCGCGCCAAAGGCAGCGGCTGGCGAGGCCGCCGCGGCCGCCGCCTTCTTCGCAGGCGACGGGGTCCCCGCATCACCTGCCCTCTTAGTGCCCATGGCGGCTGCTGGTGGTGGGGGGGGGGGGGGGCGCGAAAAGCAAAAACGAGCTACTCGCGTCCGAGAGCCGAAACCGCTGTGGATGATGATGATGATGGTGATGATGATTATGACAACGATGGTGATGACGATGATGGCAATGGTGATCATGATGATGGTGACGACGATGATGACAACTGCTGGTTGCGTGATGACGGTGGCGATGCCAACGACGGTGAGGATGATGATGCTAGCGACGCTGCAAATCCTTAATATGATGCCCCCCGTGGTGGACCAGTCAGACAAATCTAAGATATGTGACCTCTGTGATGCAGTCGTGAAGCAAAGAAGATAATTCACCTGTACTCATATCACTCGTGCAATCACGAATCGACACAGCACGCGCAGTGAAAGACTTTCGCACAACCTTCTCATTCTCGGAAAGATTCACACTTGCTGCTGCTTGGATGTTGCTGGGGCGCTCAGCTGTATTAGCAATTGCTTTCTTGTATTCCGCGAGTCTCCTGGGCTGCTCATCGATGCGTGCCAGGCAGCGACAACAACGCGCACGAACGACATCTGGCGTGCTGCACCTATTGTCCACGAGATCGCGCGGACACTCACCCCGAGAGCGAAGCGCCGCGCACCTCTCCTTCTTGGTCTTGTGGTCATGGCGCGAGCGACGAAGCGAGCAGTAGAACCGACCCCCGAGAAATTAGCGCAAACTCGAATACACAGATGGGACAACGGGGGATATGGAAGCTTCCTGTTCAGGCCAGAAGAAACATCGAGGAAGGCAAAACGTTGTGACTTAAACCTGTTGTTCCCGAAACCTTCACAAACTGTCCGTCTTCCTTCCGGGTGGAGCTGCTATCGGCCCATCCTAAGGACAGAACCAGATCCTCGCGCGATTGCTTTACCATGCGGCCCCAATCCACGTTGTCTGGAATATCTCTGAGACGCCGACCGTGACGGAGCCCGCTGCGCTGGCCCGAAGCAAACGCAGCACCGTGACCAGGCACAGAGATAGGATCCGAAACGGATTCCCCCCCTCAAACTCCCCATCAGAAATGCTAGCCGTCGAGCAGGATTCGGTCCAGCGAACAGCCATGAACACAAGAGTATCTCCCTCGGCCTCTGCAGAGGTCTGAAGACTCTCCTCCGGGAGCTCTGGAGGCCCCTGAACCAAAGTGGCATCGGTCATGCCCAGACAACGCGATTGGTAATGACGCAGCGACAGAACCGACGGATGCGAATTCCCGTTCGTCACCGCCCTCGCGCAACTGGACCTGGCGTTCGCCGGCGTCTCCAGGTGTACGCTGCCATTGCCGTCCTGGGCTTGCCCTCGCACTCAGGGCCTCCGGACCAGTGGCCCGTTTCGCTGCAGGTCTTGCACCTCGAGCGTTTCTGGATATCCTGGAACCGCTTCCTGCGATCTTCCAGGGAAGGCCCCCCCGCGCCGCCTCCCTTGGGCGACCAAGGCGCGTCGCGGGGGCCCTTGCCCCCACTCTTTCCGCTGCCCTCGCCCCGTCCCTCGGTGCCAAAGTTGGCGACCAAGTCTTCTTGGATCGCGTCGGAGGCTTCTTCCTCCGCGTGCCCGGCCTTGACCATCTCGTCGACCACCTCGACGTCGAGCTCGCTTTCCTGGGCGGCAGCCCAGTGAGCATGCGATTCCTCGTCGCCGCAGGTGCGTTCGTCGGCGCAGTCGTCCCAGGCCGCGTCGCCCCAGCCGTGCGCCGGCGCATAGCCAGACGCGCAGTGCCCGCGGGGGCTCAGCTTCTCAGGGTAGTGCCCCTCCTGCTCGCGCCACATGTCATCAACAGAGTAGACGGCGTGCTGCGGCCTAGAGAAGCGCACCTTGCCCTTGCCCTTGCCCTTGATATGGTAGCCCGGCCTGGGCTGCGTCCACATCGAAGAGTTGGGTCGTTTACCGGACTCACCCTCGCCCTTGTGGCGGATGTGTATGCAACCGTGCTTGAGGATCAAAACGTCCTCGATGTGTCGAAGGTTGTCGCATTCCCCGCGGATGTCAATGCCATCAGATTCTCCGAAGGCGAGAGGCCTGCATGGTCCAAGGGGAGGGCGCCAAGCATATCGTCGCTCATCAAGATCTTAGGATCTAACTTGGACAGAAGTGTCCACCACCACTTCCTTCGGGATATGTACGAGACCATCGAATCACCGAAACTGCAGGGGACGTGGTCCACATGGTCTCTGCCCCACCTGGACCAGGATATTCGCTTCCTGCGCCTCTACGGGGGAGAATGCGAATCGCCAACGCCAGCTGAACCAGTCCCAGTCGGAGTCAGAAGCACGTCCTTGCCGATATCCATGGCAGTATCGAATGCGTCACTTCTGAAGCCTTTCTACAACCTTGTTGACAGCTGCGGTGATCACGCGCTGCTGTGGCACACCCATCTCTTGATTCACTGAAGCCAAGGCGGCACTCATGCGCATCTCTGTGCGGAATTCCCACTCGTGGAAGTTGTTCACCGTTCCGTCGTAGATGTAGGAGCCACTCTTCGTCTCAGACCGCGCCAGCGTGTCGGCGCTTGACCGATTGCGAAGAGAAGAGCGTGCCATGGTGCAAGGCACGGCCCCTAGTGAAGGAAACTGCCTGTACGGAAAGTAAAGAGAGGTAGAGCGACACTCTTTGATGAGACTTGCGCACGGTGGTACGATGCGGGGGTCGTGTGGCACCTTCGGTACCAGTGTGACTATGATGCGCTTAAGCACACTTGCAAAAAAAGGGGCCCTAGAGGTCAAGCCTCAGCGAGTGGCGCCTACACGCACACACGTCACACATACACTATCTCACAAATGACCTTGTCCTTGGTATGGCTCCCAAGCGCCTCTGCTGTTGTGGCCCACTGCTCCCGCGAACATCCAAGCCGCTGGTTTGGCGCAGCTGATGCGAAGGCGATGGCGCTCACCGCTGGGCACTTCCCAACGCGTTTCAAGGACCGCGGTGGCGCGTGGGCAACTCCGCGCCGGTCGGTGACCCAGGCGGGCGCAACCTCGTGATGACGTCAACAGCGGCGGCAACGACGATGCGCATAGCGACGGCGGTGGCGATCCTGGCGAGGACGACGGCAAGACCGACGACAACGCTGATGGTGGCGACGACGAGGGCAATGATGATACCCATTTTTCGGTTAGGAAATCGATTGTGCTGATGATGGCGGCTTTGGAACCGATTGGAGATAACGGCAACGGAGGTGATGCGATATCGATGGCCAAAGTGACATAGAGAGGTCCGCGCGCACCATGGAAAGGAATCTGGCAATCTGCTCGTTCCCATTATTCCTGCGTTGGCTTCTCGTTCTGAATAAAACATTGCGGTCGTGCCCCCGTCCCCCTCCTCCTTCTCCTCCCGCTTCCCGCTTCCTCCTTTCCATCCCCCTGCCCCCCCCCCGCCTGGCCTGCTCCATTTTTTCCCAGGGGGGCAGGGCCAAGGTTGCCTGTTTATCTGGCTGAGGCAGCTCCAGCGGCTGCCTCTTCTCTCTCCCGGACACGTTCCAGGAGGGCCTTCGTGCGAGGGGTCTGTGGGAGGCTGTCTAGCCTCGCACTCAAAAGACCTGCCTCTTGAGGAGAGGGTAAGTTAACTGCATACTGCGCGCGCCCCACTCCTCGCCTCGGCGACTGAGTCACTCGCGCGGAAGTTTCGCGCGAGCGCGGGTGGGGGCCAGAATAAATTCGCCTCAATGGAACGGTCGCTCCAGCAATTTTGCGCCGCTGGCATTCACGACCTAGCAGAAAACATCGCCTTGTGGTGTGCGCACCACAGGTCGTGCAAGAATACAGGACGGCTTCGCTCGACCTGTCATTCTTGTCAGATCTGGCGACAACAGTGTGGGCTTAAGCGTGGCCCATGTCGAAACTAAACACGGCCTTCCATGTTTTGCTCGGCCCTGGGTATCCAAGCAAGGGTCTATTCTCAGCATCTTTGCTGAACAAGAAACATCTTATGCACCTGGCTACGCCGTCGCCCTGCTTCCCCCAGCAGTGCCACCCCCCAGACTTGAGGAACCTTGCCCGCGGTCCGGGGGGGGGGGGGGGCGTCGCTCGAATTTGCCCATCGGAAGCACAGAAAACTTTGGGCAGCACTCGGGCCGCAAAAGCCAACTGACCCAGGGAAATAATAAGCACTTCCGAAAACTGGGGAGAAGGCGAAGGGTGGAGGGAGAGGGAATGCTTGGCGAGGGCGTCTGCGCTCCAATTCCCAACAGCGATTCTTCTCTCTCCATCGGGGAGGGAGTCGATGACACTTCTCGCACGATGGGCAGGAGCGCGACGCACTTCGGGCACATGATCCCGCCCCTCGCGTCGCAGAGCTCCTCTCCTCGTTCCTGCGTGCCGATGGCGCCGATCCACTTGATGTGAAGGGTCGGTCGTGCATAACTTCACTACCGCCATGCAGTCGCTGTACCTCACGCCCGAGTAGGGAACAAAGAACGGGATCAGCGACATTGCCTGGTGCTCCGCCGCCTGCGGTGTCTGGGGCAGGACGTCCCAAGCGGTTCCTATGGCATAGGCAACGATATCCTCTTCAGGGCCTAAAGAGATCCAGGCGCAAGCGGCCCTTGAAAGTTCTCGGATTGTGCGCCGCGCACACGATCCGCCCATGCAAACATCGCATCCCCTTAAGTCGATGCTCCCCCAAGGCACTCCCTCCTTCTGTGGGTTGAAGAGTCGAGGGTTGGGGTCAGCGTGGGGTGAGGGTAGCTGGTTTCGGGGTGTTCCATCTTCAGATCATCCCAAAAGCTCCTGCATTCACTTTCGGCTGCCTCTTGGAGCCATCCTGCATTACCACCCGCAACTTCTAGGCGCACAGCAACTACTTCAGGGCGCTGACA